TGGATACTGTTTTTCAACCTTCTGCTGTTGGAAACACTATGCATTTTAGTCTGCTTGTGTGTGAAGAGGAACATCTATAGACAATTGTTTCTTGCATTCAACCTCCTCCAGCCAACAAGTATACAGCTGATAGAGTTTTTAAAGTACAGAAATAATAAAAATAAAGAAATTCATAACCCAATGAAAAGTCTTTACTGAAAAGGTATTGTATAATTTCTCTCATGCAGAATAAAGGCCTCTTCCAACATTGCATCTGTTGTTTTTACGAACATTTACATTTAAATGATTTCAAAATCTCCTATCCAATATATCTGATTTAATATTTTATACAGAATAATATATTCAATATTTGATGTTTTAGTCAATCAATATTTTGTTAACTAAATAAGTTTACTAATTGAGGAAACGTTACAGCCCCCAAAATTAAGTTGTTGGAAACAACAAACCTATTGGACCAAGGCCTGCTTTTGTTAGCAACTCATTTGAGCCATCTTCAACATCAGATTCTGATGGAATTAATGATAATGGAAGAAACTGCCAAAAGAAGATAGGACTGATCCATGATTTCTTAAAGCCTTATTTCATGACATTTCTATAAACATTCAATATTGCTTTGAAAAATGCCATAACAAGGAAATTTAGGGGACTGCACTGTTTCCCAATGTGGATTTGATTTTATTTTCACTTTAATAGTGAAATGAATCTGCAAGGGCCTTCTGAATATTTTGAAAAATCAGAAGCAAGATTCTTGGCCTCTGGTGCTTTAAGTGAGTTTCTGAATACATTGATGTTAACTATCTCTGAGACTGTCCTTCCAGTATACCCCTTTGCATTATGGCTGCTTTCAAGAACAAAAGAGAAGTCATTTGCACGAGTCCCTATGAAATAACTGCTCTGATTTGTTTTCTTTGTCAGTCTGACTGACAAAATGATATTAAAAGCTTGTCCAGGAATAATAAAAATCATCTCACTATGTTAAAGGATAAATTGATAGTGCTTTTTTTCCCCTTTTTGGTATATTACATTTCTCAGAGCATGCTGTTCTCCTCCCTCCCCAACATATTGCATTTTAAAGAGCATATTTTCTGATCCATGTTAGCAGAACTTACCTCATTAGCAATCATATTGCTGAATTTTGCATGAAGGAGGCCAGGAGAGTCTGTCACTGATGTGTACTTGAAGGAATTTGCTAGCTGACGGTATTTACTCTGAATTCACACACAGAGAGACAGACGAAAGGAGAATTGCAAGATAAGGACATTATATTTTGAATGCTACTGATTTAGTTAGCACTTTACACAGAAACTACATGTAACAGTGTATTGACCTGTATGTTATTTTAACCCTTTCCTACATAGTAAAATCAGCAGACTCCCTGAAAAAACACAAGGACTAGTTGGCATTACATCTTTTGAAGTACACCTTAGCACTTTGGTACAAACATGATAAACAACCCAATATTTTTATCTACATGAGTATTTAAAAAAAAAAATTATTGAAATGGCAAGAACTGGTCTAACTGAAGTGCAAATGATTACACTGGATTAAACATTATTGTGACTTTTTTTGATCTGGGTGTGAGTCATCGTTTCAGTGATCTTTAGACTGGAAATTATATAATCTATTTTTTGGTTTAGTTAGTTTGGTCCAGTCACCAGTTTGTTGTGGTGCTGTAGAGCCTCAAATATATGATTCAGTTCAAAGTAAATTTGATTAGATAATCCCTCCAGTTAGAATCCTTGAACTGAATCAGTTTAGATCTGATATTTTTTATTTTACTGAAATCCCTGAAATGAATGAAACACTTATAATAGAGCTGGAAAAAGTTGGGCCGCTTTTATCAATAGCAGAAAGGTTCTATACTCACATAGGGTCTAAAGGACTTTCAAAGGATGCACAGCCCTACTGGTTATGTCTGTTTATTCATATATTTAGAACACATATAGAATAGGGTATGCCCCAAAGGATTAAAGCCGAACACCTCACTGTCCCTGCCTTCCTCTTCTTTTTAAAGGTCTTTTCAGCCCAGCCAGGCTCCCACAGATGGGAGAAAGAAAAAGAGACTGAAACTATGAGCAAGGAGAGGGCAAGATGGGGAGGATTCATCTGTCCTCACCTCTAGGATCTTTTGACAAAAAACATTTACACCAAGCTTTACACATGAAAGGAGATGACATGCACATTTTAAAAGAGTGGCTTCTGCCATTATATCTATTTTGGTCTTTATTTTGCCTTATTATTGACCCATTCTTTTGCTCTGGAGAGAAACTTAAGAGTGAGATGAGAGAAAGCAGGAGAGGGAGAGGGAGAGAGTGCATAGTAATGAGGAAGAGTAATTCTCTTTCCAGGCCACTTATGTAGAGTCACCTGGGTTTTGAGAAATGTGATTCTATGTCTATTATAAAAACACAGGCTTCCTTTCATCTGGAAAGGAACATTTCCTTCTAAAAAGAATCACCCTAATGTACCAATCACTTGGGTCCTGATTACAGAACAGAAAGTTTGTGAAAGTAGTTATCAAGGTCTGCAAAACCTTGAACTCCATTCAGTTCACCCAGGATATAAATTGAGTGATCAAATAAAGAAGGAGGGTGGGAGTAAGAGCCTACCCTTAATCAGGAAGCTTCTTTGTCAGTTTTACACAGACATCTGGCAAATCCTTGTTTGTAGTGGTGAAATCAAAAACCTCTTTTGTTACCTCACTGATGAGTTCAGAAGCTTTCTTCTTTGCTTCAATCTCCAAGGCCCCTGGTATGATACAGCCAACTCCTCTCATAAAGTTCAAGTCAGATCGGTATAAATTCTATGGGAAACAAATCAAAACTAATTTATAGCACAGAACCTAAGAAGCAGTCATTCAAATGCTTTCATTATAAATAACATCTGCCACACAAGACTTTTGTAACCTTCAACCATATTGGAATTGAATTTGTTTATTTCATCATTGTGCATTTACACACACTTGCATTTTCATGCACAAAACATTAACCCAACAGTTTTATTTATACATATCTACCTACATATTTATATATCTACCTATATATAAATACTAAATCAATCAATCAATCTACCTAGCCATCTAGGCAGGAAAAAAGTAGCTAATTCTGATGTTGATTATGTATAAAATTATAAATTGTTTCCTATGTTTCCTCTAAAAATCATTCACACCAATAAAAAATAGTGCATTGGTGAAATGATCATGTTGATACTCACCCCAGACAGGTTAAACTATTGCTTTTTAAAATAAGCTACAGTTGTAACAGTTATAACTATTGTACATACAATATGTTAAATTTTAAACCTCAAGGGTTGGGGAGAATCAAAGAAGGTACAAAGATTTAGGTTGTGCTGGGTCAGAACACAGACAGGCTGCCCGGGGGGAAGCGGTATTTGAGACCAGTCTCCCATCTATGGACACTTTACTTCAGCCTGGTAGCCTACATAGCCAGGTTCTTAGAAGTCCTTGGCTGCTGCTTCTTAATGCCAAGTCTATCTATAACAAATGATCTCTTCTTGTCCACAATTTGATTGTGGATAAGAGGATAGATCTGGCTTACCTCACCAAAAGCCAGTTGTTTACCTCTCAAAATGTGTCTTCCTAGATTTCAGCTGGGGCAGCAGCCATGAACTCAGGGCTAGGGAAGTAGGGTGGCTATTGTCATCCATAATCTTCTACAAGTGACTGGAGGCACTGTGCCACAGATAACCAGGAGTGAGGCCAAGTGGGCACTGCTGCTGTTGTACCATTCCCTCTGGTGGCAGGCAGCATCCTTTCCTGGGCTGCTTGATTCCATTGGCAGGATGGGGTAGAGTTCCCCAGATTATGGTGTTGGGGAACTTCAACCTGCCATCTCTCGCGTTAGGTCTCAGGCATCCCAGTAGTTCATGACAATTATGGGCTTGTCCCAGGTTGTCACAGCCCAAATTCATGTGGGAAATTGCATGTTAGACCCACAACACAGTCTGATTAATATATGTCCTTTGTCATGGTAAAATAACTCTGATTGCTATTGAACAGTACCAACAACATCAGCAAGGAGAATGGACTGTCACAGACATTTCTGGGATCCAACTCATTTCCAGAGGGTCTTTGGGGAGATTCCTAAGCAGTTTCACTGAGATCTAGTTGCTAACTGGAATGCCAGGGTGATAGCAGCCTTAGATGAAATTGCATCTGAGCAGCTTTTCCCTGTTCACCAAGCCAGGGGAGCTCCTTGGACCACTGAAGAGCTCCAGAAAATGCTATGTTATTTTAGGAAGGGAATGTAAGCCACTCAGAGACCTATTGGATTAAAGCAGCATATAAACCCTAGTAAATAAGTACAGTATATACATAAGTATATTAGAAACTACAATCTTAAAACTCATGTTTAAACCTGCATAGGAGCAGAATGGGGAGGTATCTTTATACCTATTAAGGGAGGAAAGTACATTATTATAAACATAGATTTTAAAGAATTAATAGCTCAGCCCACTTTGGGCATGGCCCCAATTTTGTTTGAATCTGAATTTCCCCAATTTTCAGGTGTGGTTTTGACCTATTCTTCACAGATGGATCTGGCTCTTTGCCTAACAAAACCCATTCACCTCAGTCAAACATGATCTGCAGATCTTAATTTACCTCGCTCTGTAGTTTATAAGCTTTTTTAGCGCACTGCAGTCTCATATCTTCAGACAGTGATGTGTAATCATGAAGCTGTTGTCTATAGTCCTGATCACTGACCAAGGACTGGGCTTTTCTGACATGTACCAAATTCAGCATGTCTAGTGGTAGGTGGAACTTGCTCTTCTGATTATCAAAATCTTTCCTGTAATTTATCTATGAAGGAAGTAAAACAAACAAACGATTATTGCTATTTTTCAGTCGTGACTTACGCTGAAACACAGTAACAGAAAATCATTTGACAAATTCTTTTGAAATTATTAACTTTACAATTTATAATTATGCCAAACCACAGACCAGGAAACAGGACAGAAAATAATAGTTAAAATATAACCATAGACCACAACTGGCCACTACTGTTATTATTTGCTCCTCAACAAGCTTGGTGTGCATTATGTGAACATTACTAAATCCTTTTCCTAAGCATATGAGCGATTGCCTTAGAAGTCTTTTTAGTAATTTCAAAATTGTTACTCAATGAAAATGCATGTATTATATTAGTGTGCTCTACTAGAAAATTAGAAGCTCTATAGTCTTTTGCCCTCTTTGCTTTTCTCTTCTGAGATTGCTTTTGTATTCTCACAGGAACAAGAAGATCTTGCGATGATGATAACAAGATAGCTCTAGAAGCAATTTAAACTCATTTAGGGAGGACAAGGCTATCAATGGTTTCAAATGATGATGGCTATATGGATATTCCAGAGGCAACTTAGCCCTGAGTACCAGATGCTGGAGAAAAACAGAGAGAGGGGTTGCTTTTGATAGGCATCTGCTTGGTTGATGAAATAAACAGGATGCTAGATTGGGTAAGATTTTAGACAATTCTGTCAAGGATCGTCTTATATTCTTACGCCTATAGAGGTGAAAGTCTTATCAATTTATATTATTTTGAGTATGCTGAACCTAACAAATTTAATGTTTGCTTATTGGAAATATGGGAATTCAAGTTTATTTAGTATACTACTTACATTACTCTGTAGCAAAGCTGCATGGATTAAGTGAGAAATGTTTATATCTTCCAAGCCATAGGAACCAATCAACTGCCCTTTCATTTTCTCAAATGCCTCCTTGTACTTATGCTGATGAAGAAAAACAAAACAATAACATAGCAAAGATGTGAAAAGTGAAAGAAAAGTATCTATTATTCCATTGCTCTTTGTTGTCTTCTCAGCTAGTGAGCACTTTACATAAAGCTATGTTTATCAAATGGCCACATTCAGGCAGAACCAAACTTGTATTAGAATAGGTCTGCTCTATAAGAAAGGGAATGTGGGTTTAGAAGTTCAAATTATATGTATTAACATGTAATTTCCTTAAACAGCTAGTTTCTAAGAGATATGTGAGAAGTAGTACTAAAGTGTTATATTTATTCACATACCCTTTGAAAATATAATGCAATATATAGATACATGCTATTCCATTATGATGGATCATTACACTTGCTCAGTTGTTGTTTGTTTTCATTTTTGTTGTTGTCCATTATAATGGCCTAAACTAAGTTGCAGTGTTACTGGGGATGAGATTAACATCTCTGACTTCAACTCTTGATGCACTTGGAGCAAAGATTTAAAAACCACTGTGCCATAATAAATCAGTAAACTGTTTTTAAGCAGTAAGAGGAACAACAGATGAAGAGTATGACCTCCAAATCATACTAGAATGTATTCATGAGTAAGTTCAGTCTGTTATCCAAATTTTCAAGGTCTAAAGTAAAAACTTTTATAATAATATAACAGCTAATGTACTTTGGGAGACTGCAATCTTATTACAGAAAGTTTAATGGATAAGTATAGTTCCAGACAACAAATTCGAGACCCTATGTTAATTAATTGGGGTTTTCCTTGTTTCTGAGCAATTGCTACTGAATTAAATTCATTCATTCAATCAATCAGTAAAGGACATAATATGGTTCAGTATCAATTTCAGCTCTACCATTTCATTTATAATACAGACAAAATAAGAGGCAATTTTATATACTATTTGATTCCTTTTCCCAATTTCACTTATGAATTGTATTGGGGATGGAGGGAATGTTCATATTTGTGCTTGAACACTAATTTTGGCATTCAAAAGTCCAAGAGGACTTTTGGCATTAAATAAACCCTTTTTAAAGAACAGTGATCATTAAAACAATCTTCCCTGCCTTCCTAGTTTGCCCATACAGCATATAATATACAGTATTATATACAGTATTTATGTGCATTAGGATTCATTTACTTAATTCTACTTAGCAGAGTACTATTTAATTCAAACATAAAATTTGTGGAAATAATTTGAAATTCTTTATACGCCAAAGGTATTTGTTTTCTTTTGTTGTCCTTTTCCAGTGTCTAAGCAAAATGCCTTCAGAATTATTTCTTTGCCAAGATTTCTTGTTTCATAACAGACATTATTGTTACTAAATCAACTTACATCACTTATAATTTCACTAGAAGCCTTTGCCGTCTGGAAAGGAATGGCATCCAGTTTCAGTTTATAACCACCATGTTGCATCTTCTTCCAGGATTCCTTGTAGCAGGTCTGTTTGGAAATAGGAAGTAAGACCAACATCCATTTATTGACACTTGAAGCATGTTCTTCCCTACAAAAGTACTTATCCCTAAAAGGCCTAGAACAAACTTATATAAATTTCCTTGTTTCTAACTAAGGGTTTTCTACTTTAGGTCAATGTTGTACATTGTTAGAGATACAGACTGTATCCGATGCTGTGTTTCACTTCTGATACAGTCTTGGAATCTGCTTCAGTTGGTGTAATGGACTGTGAGAATGACCTTGGGAGATAGGAGGAGAAGATGGAGGAGCCGCAGCCTAGACAACAGTCAGGCAAGAGATATCTCAGCCCTCAGGAGGAATGGGGGTGGAGAAAACATCTTAGAAGGGACCCTCCCTAGTTCTCTGGAAAGTAAAGGCAAGGGAGGGGAGAAGTGCTTTTAGACTTGCAAGATTCTGCTATTGTAATCTTACAATAAAGATACTATTAGTACTTATGGTTTTGGTTTCTTGTCTGGACAACCTTGAAGGACTGACAGTCCCACTAATTCAAATTGGAAGGATGATTAATTTGAACCAGGTTAATCTAAATTCAGACCAATATGTCTGATACAGTGATTTTTATGGTCTTGTCTATGGGCAGCAAAACTATTTTGCCTACTTGCACTAATTTTTACCTTTAGTATTGGCAATAGCCTTCCCTTTCATTTTAATTTGCAGTTATCAGAAAAGATGTTACTAATGCACTAGCAAAAAGAAATCAATGGCCATTTTCATTCCCTAAAATGCCCCAGATGTAACATATTACATTCTGGAAAGTAAAAGGCACCAAACCATTAAAGAAAATTACATTTGGGTCAAGTACCCATTTTTCTTACAATGCATATTGCATCTGAGATATTCTGAATAAAAGAAATGGTGGCCACCATCAAGTGGATAGGATAGATCTGCTGAATCTATAAAGGAAGCCTGAAACCCAACTAGAATTGAATGACACGTTGCTACTACTAAATAATGTTACCACCTCCCAAATAACTTGGTTGCAAATTTTGCCACTTCTACCCCTTGATTTAAGGGGACTATGGTAGGTTCACTCTCACAATTTAGCATTTGTTAAAAGAACACAAACTTCATCTCAGTTCAGTCCTGGCTCTTCTATGGAATCTTGAAATCTTTTTTCAGAAAGCCAAATAGGCCGATAGTATGCCAATGTTGCCATTACTGAAGATGAGAGGAACAGCAAAAATGCACATGCATAGAGCTGCCCTAGTCACACCCTGCTTACAGTTAGGCTTATCCTCAAGAAAGAAAGTGAAAAAAATACATTTTACATAAATTGCAACTATAGTAAATATAAAGAAGGTCATAATGAGTAATATGTGTCTTGAAAATCTTACCTCACTGATATTCAAAGCATTTTGTTTAGCTTGAAAGATCTCAGGAAGTTCTGCTATCTGGGTATAATTATGTTTTACATTCTCTCCATGCTCTTTATAAAGCCTCTGCAAAATTCAGAAAATACTTTGTAGGGCACTACTACACATTTCACGCACAGTGAAACCCCTCTTCCCTCCCCAAAATCAATCCTTATAAAATGAAAGCATTAATTCAAGAACCATAGCCTACATAAGAATTCATTTAAGTCTCGTGATTATCTTGTGGCTCTCTTTAGCAACTGGAGATTTAAAATGAGGTGGTTTGGGTTGTGGCATCTAGAATCCAGAGCAGCCTTCTAAGACAGCTATTTCCAGCTCTGTCACTGAAACCTTTTTGGCAACCTACAGTTTGATAATTCTTTGCTTATCATATAGTAAAGTTTATAAAGTGGTGATTCACAACAGCAGTAAATGTTTTTCATCTTAGTACTACTATGTTAATTAGCTTCTATCAAAGGATAGGATCCCATTATCTCAATTCAAGGTGAACAGGGAGGATGCTGCTGTCTTACGCTAGAAATTCCTTTCTAAAGAACAGCACTTGCAGAACAACAGTACTATGCCCTGGAAGACAGAATCATCTCCTGCTGGTTTCTCAGTTTTGAAATCCTTGATGACAGATTTACTCATTTATAAGCCCTGAGTGAGATAATTATTTTAAATATGGATATGGAATGGTTCCCAGGCATATTCCTTTATTGATCTACCATAGGTGTTCTCTTGTAGGCAGTGGTGGTAACTTGGGAAAACACCTCTTCCTGATAATGCTTATCTGGTGCCTACTGTAATATTTTTTCACCATGAAGCCATAAGTATTCTCCCAGGCTTTAGATCTCACTGTGCAGCTATGTGATGGTTTTGTTTTGATTATTTCATCTTTTTATTGTACATTATCTTGGGATTATTTCTAAATGGATAACTGTATTTAAACTGTCAAATGAAACAACATAAATCATTTTTCCATTCAATTCCATTCAACTGTCTTTGAGTCTATCCATTACTATCTATTACTATAGATATAATCTGCTATAGATTAGAAGTAACTATATGGCTATACAAAATTAAAGTGATTTGAATTACTGGCATTGATGATCTCCTGATTTATTGTAGAAAAAGAGAATTGCTAATAATTGTTCCAGG